AATCTTCATTTGAATTACTTTGTTTATATTTATGGAGCATTTATGATGATGAAATAGATGAACTTGTATCCAAATCTTCATTTGAATTACTTTGTTTATATTTATGGAGCATTTATGATGATGAAATAGATGAACTTGTATCCAAATCTTCATTTGAATTACTTTGTTTATATTTATAGAGAGTTTATGATGATGAAATGGATGAACTTGTATCCAAAACTGAAGGAGGAGACAAATTAGAACAGGCAAGTTTAATACATAAAAATAATGTCCTTTTGGGTAAAATCCAGTCTGTTTAAAATGCTGTAAGAATACAAACAAGCAGAAGCACGCACTTTAATCAGAATGTTCTCCTTCATTGTTGTGAATGTAACCAATATTTATAGATAATATAAATATTTATAAATAGTATGCATATTTTATAAATAATATAAATATAAATTATATTTTATAAATAATATAAATATAAATTATATTTTATAAATAATATAAATATAAATTATATAAAAATATAATATAAAAGCCAGCTGGCCTGAGGTCCAAATGGGAAAGTTCTACACTGGAGGTGGCTGCTGGGTTGATGACAGATGCCAGTCCCTGCCATGTTCACTATACTCTACCTGTCCATCTTTATTTTTGATCATCATATTAGTTGTGCTTCTTGTTGTGTCCTCTTTCATTGTTTATTTGATTGTTCTGTGTCTTATTTCTCTTCACACTTTTCATTTCTTCCTTTTTATTGTTGTAAGCTGCCTAGAGTAGCAGTGAGATAGGCGGCAGATACATTTAACAAATAATAATAACATCATCAAATATCCCCATCTGCCTATCCTACACCTTGGGAAGGACTTGATAGGTCAGTGATGGCAAACCTATGGCAGAAGTGGCACACAGCGCCCTCTCTGTGGGCATGTGAGCCGTTGCCTGAGCTCAGCTTCACCGTGCATGCGCATGCGCCTCCCACCAACCAGTGGTCTTTGGGTCTCTGTCGTGCATGCGTAGGGGTGGGGCACATATGGGGGGGCTGTGTGCGCATGTGGGGGGCTGCATGTGCATGCTCAGGATCCGTGTGTGCACGCAGGGGGCATGCGAGTGGGGCATGCATGCACAGGGGTGGGGGTGCCTGTGCATTGCATTTTAGGGGTTTGCACAGACTTTGGGCACTCAGTCTGGACAAGGTTAGCCATCACTGTGATAGATGGACAAAATTGCCAAACTCAATCTGGCTGACTGTGCGACGAATCATAGTTTGTAGGCAGGCTCAATCATACACACATCCCCAAGAGAGTGGCCTTTGCGCTGAGTCATGCACAGAGCGAGATGGGAAAAAGTGACTTCACTCCCCACAGTGCCTGCTTTGTTTGAAGAGTTTCTGTTTTTACAAAAATAGGCAATGCACTTAATTGCACTCAGATCCTCATTTGTTTCTGTGTTGTACTGAAATCTAAATTTTCTCTCCACAAGTTAAGGAGTTGTTTACAACTCCAACGTTTTACGCATTGTGATGTCCCCAAAGATGCACCCTTTTATTCTGTGGAATAGTCTTGCTCTTTAATATTTTGTACTCTTCACTTGTGATCTATAATATTCTGGACAGAGTGTATACAGTACTATCAGGTCATTGAGTAGAACATTTTCCAGAATTTTTCTTCTGTTTATTTAAGTTACCAATAACTTGAACAGTTTTGCAAGTTGTCCTCTCCTCCACTGAATGTTTGTGTTTTTTAATTGAAAATTGAAAAGAGATGTTATATTTTACATTTTCTTTTAATGTTTTTTTTAAAATTTATGAGATTGGTTTGTCTATCAAGGAAGGGAGAAACGAGTGAATGCTCTGATTGCATTTCTTTATGCTGTACAGCGAGAACATGGCATTGTCTTGTTTTATATTTTGACCTTTTAATAATCAGAAAAAACAGGATGGGTTGTATATGTCCTATCTCTTTCTATTCCTTTCTTGGGAATAGGAAATAGAGGCATGATGAGGAAAGTATGTGATGGTACAAGAATTACTAAACTGTCTTAAAATAGGAGGCCTTATCAAGGTATGAAAATTCAGAGAGCTTCTAGGAGGAGAGAGAGATTTGCCTATGAGCTCAGTCTTTCACTACATCTTTATAGAGATAGCTAATATTAAATACTAGTTACCATATTTTTCGGAGTATAAGTCACACTTCCCCCCCTAAAAGAGAGTGAAAATTTGGGTGAGTCTTATACACTGAATGCAGTTCCGCCCACCCCCACCCTTTGGCCTCCGTGCATCACGTTTCAGACCCATTCAAGGCTGCGGGGATCGCCAGAGCACATTCGCCGCGTCCATGCATCACATTTTTGGCCGCTGCGCATCGCTTTTTTTTAAATTTGCCTCTTCAAAACCTTGGTGCGCCTTATACTCTGAAAAATATGGTACATGCCAATTGACAGCATTCAAATTTTGATCATGTGACTGGAAATGCTGCAACAGTGATTTGAAAAACAGTCATAAGTCACTTTTTTAGTGCCCTTGTAACTTTGAATATTCACTAAATGAATGATTGTAAATCGAGGATTATATTCTATCCTCATTTCCTTATCTTTTCTAATAGGTTAGTTAGAAGTTCTGTGTCTTATTTTGAAACATCTTTTAAGATTTATTGAGTTTTCTAAAGTTAATCACCTCGCCTCCGTATAAACAATTTCGTTGTATTTATTTTGTACCATGACAATAAAAGCTATACTATGTTTTGCAAATCAGTTCTGTTCCAAGTAATTTCAAAATGATGACCAAAAATTATAACTTCTTCCATTGTATGTGAAAAATATGGGATCAAAATCAATATATTTTGACTTTATAGGAGAAAACCCGTGAACAGAAAGAAGCTGATTTGATTCCCAAGATTCAGGAAGCCATCAATTTTGGGCTGCAGGTATTAGACAGTGCCTTTGAACAACTGGACATCAAAGCAGGGAACTCTGACTCTGAAGAAGAAACCAATGAAAGGCTGGAACTGATATTGGAGCCAAAGGTAATAGAACTTGGTATTTCTGGCCATTTCAATTTTACTGGCTTGACTTATTCAATAGTAAAAGCTATTTAATGACCTCAGGCCAATCATGATCTCTCGATACATTAAATCAGGGGTGTCAAACTCAAGGGCCGTGGCCCGCATCCGGCCCTTGGGACACTGGTGGGTTGCAGGCACTACGCCCCGGTACGGGCGTACCAGTGCCTGCCGGGAGCACCAGGTACCATTCTGGTATGGTGCTCCAGAGGGCCCACCCACCTGCCGGAGCTCCTTACCTATATTTGAGCTCTTTGACACTTCCACACACGGAGCGTACGGCGTCTGTGCGATGCTCCGCCGAGCAGCTGGAGCATCACAGAGGCATCGTGGAGGTAAGGACACATGCATGCATGTGGCGTGCTCCGTGTGTCCATGTGGGGGATGCCAGGCCCCGTTGCACCGTACCAGTTTCAACGGGATCTGGAACTCACCACTGCTGTGGGGCCACCCTGAAAACAGCGAAGGACCAGCCCGCGTGCCTCTCCCAGTGAAAATGGAGCTCAGGGGTGGGCGTGCACAGCCTCCCTTGGCTCACTTTTTGCCCTTGATAGCTTCCTACAGTCCTCTGCCAGCAAAAATGGACCTCGGGGGGCAGTGCCCATTTTCATTGGCAGAGCGCTGCAGGAGGCTGTCCCAGCCGAAAACAGAGCCTGAGCAGCCACTGGGGCCACCACAGGTGCCCCAGACATGAGTGACATCGAGTTGGCCACGCCACCTGGCCATGCCCACCAGGCCACGCCTCCCTGAGGTCAAACGCAACCCTGATGCAATAATTTTTACTTGTTATTGGTAATGTGGCAGATAGCTAATTAAAGTTTTAGGAATTGGTAATTAGGCATCAAGAGGTGTGCAGATTATTATGATTTGAAGTTTAAGCTTTAAAAAGTGTTTTAATTTTTTTTTTTTTACAGGATCTTTATGTTGATCGACCTTTGCCGTACTTAATTGGCTCCCAACTGTTTATGGAACAAGATGACGTTGGGCTTGGTGATCCTTCCAGTGAAGGTATGTGAAAGAATTAGTAATACATGCTTACAGTTAATTTATTTTTAAGGCTTATTATAGGCCACTTACTATTGATTAGGGACAATGCTGTGGCTCAGCAATTAAGACACTGGGCTTGTTGGCTATAGAGCCAGCAGCCCAGGTTCCAGACCTGAGCTCCTGTCCTCGCCCAGCTCCTGCCAACCTAGCAGTTCAAAAGCATGTAATTGTGAATAGATAAATAGGTACCACTTCGATGGGAAGGTAACAGTACTCCATGACATCATGTTGGCCATATGGCTGTGGAAATATCTTCAGACAACATTATCATCAAAGCGAAGATGAGTACTGTGCCCTATAGTTAGCAATGTCTAGTGGAGTAAAATCCACAGGGGCTTCCTATTATTCACTAAGTATGTGCAAAATATTTAATCTTCAGTGACAGAATATTCCAGAGAAGAGTACAGGTGAAACTAGAAAAATTAGAATATCGTGCAAAAGTTCATTTATTTCAGTAATGCAACTTAAAAGGTGAAACTAATATATGAGATAAGACTCATTACATGCAAAGCAATAAATTTCAAGCCGTGATTTGTCATAATTGTGATGATTATGGCTCATGAAAATTCCAAATCCACCATCTCAAAAAATTAGAATATCGTGCAAAAGTTCATTTATTTCAGTAATGCAACTTAAAAGGTGAAACTAATATATGAGATAAGACTCATTACATGCAAAGCAAGATAGTTCAAGCCGTGATTTGTCATAATTGTGATGATTATGGCTCATGAAAATTCCAAATCCACCATCTCAAAAAATTAGAATATTACAAGCAATCACTAAAACAAGGATTGTACATAGAACAATATCTAGCTATCAGCCTGTGGCACTGCTGAGATGTCATGGAAGACCAGGATGCTTCAATAGCAGCCTTCTGCTCTTCTGCATTGTTCGGTCTCATCTCT